AAAAAAAAAAACACCTCAAAGTTGTGTTTATATTAGAGGTGACAGTGTTACTTTTGTTTCTAACATAAGACACTTAACCTTCCACACTGAAATTTACCTTGTAAATACAAAGAGTACGCCCTGCCTGTTACAGTAAGATGACATGAACTTTGCAGTTCCTCTGGATCTCAGAGCAGCAATAAGACAAGTCGCAGGATCATCATGAGGCTGGATTAAAATAAAGGCAAAGGCACGTCACTGTTACCTGGCACAGACAGAAGGGGTCACTTGCTTGCCTAACCTGCAGGGTTATTTGGCCTTGGCTTCCAGAGCTCTCTCCCAGCCCTGCCCCTTGGAGCAGGTGACCTCATCACCCCCATAGTCTCTCTTAGCAGACAGGACTGAATTAGCCACCTAAACATGTTCACTAAATGCATGAGAAAAGACAGAATTCGCTCCTCTGAAAACCTGGGATGAGAGTTTATAAGAGAAAGATGTGAAAAGAAACAGAAACCATCAAAATCCAGTGAAGTACAGCAACTTGGAAAAATAATCTAGGAGCAATTTAGGGGAGCTATCATTACAATCTCAGCTACTTTCTATTGACTGGGGTTTTATCTTCCTGATTGGTAAACCCTACTTCTGATTCTTCCCACCATCAAGTATCATTTTTAGAACAGGGCTATAGGCTGGTGCCTCCTGCCTATAATCCCCAAACTTTGGGAAGCCAAGGCGGGAGGGTCAAGGAGCCCAGGAGTTCAAGATAAATGCACAATATAGTGAGTTCCCAGTCTCTACAGGAAAAAAAACACACAAACAAAAATTAGCTGGGCGTGGTGGTGCACGCCTGTAGTCCCAGCTACTCAGGAGGCTGAGGCAGGAGGATCGCTTGAGTCTGGGGATTAGAGGCTGCAGTGAGCTATGAGAGCAGCACTGCGTTCCTGCCTAGGTAATAAAATGAGACCCAGTCTCTTTCAATCAATCAATCAATAGAAAAAAGAACAGGGCTAGAAAGCAGCCCCGGACTGGAAAGCAGTCCTTTGTAATCACACCTCTATCCCTAAAACACAATACATAGTTACACTAGAAAATTCTATAGAAAAGCAGAAAGAACATGAAAATTATTCATTATGCTACCACCCAGGGAAAAACACTACTAACAGTTTGAGATATTTCCTTTCTATCTTGGTTTTCTATATAGAAAACTGGGACCACACTATCCTTGGTTGGTTCTGATCCTGTTCCTACACCTCATGATGTCACTAAGATTTCCCAATGCCACTGAATAGTTTTTTGAAAACAAGACATGTAATGCCTGCTCAATATGGCATCAAATGGACAAAACATTTATTGAAAAATTTCCTTACTGGTGAACTTTTGAGTTGTTCCTAATTTTTCAGCTTATTATGCTTTCCATTAGAAATAAAGCTTCAATGAACATGTCTTGTGTGTACCTCATTACTTTGCAATAAATTCCAAAAAGTGAAAATGTATATCAAAGGAAGTAAGCATGTTTATGGCTTTCAACACATAAAAGCAGATTCCAGGAGGAATTAAAAATGTTATCTCTAAATTTTTATTTTGTAATATGCTTAATATCAAGGATAGTTACTGGATCAAATTAAGAGAAATTTTAGGTTCCTTATTTATCTTTTAAAAAATATGGTATTTCTCTTCCTTAAAAACTCAAAATAACATCAGATTGTCAGGCAGTCCAACTCTCTAAAAGAGACTATTAGATTTAAATGAATACATATAATGTTTTAGATAGGTGAATCTTAAAGGAAAATGAGGCCGAATTTAACTCTTTATTCTGAAAAAGGCACATGATCAGACACTCCAGCAATATTAAGTGTATCTGATGTAATGCTCATGTGCACATAAATACCAAAGACCAACTAAATCCAAGATATTTTAAGGTTTCTATAGTCATGCTATTATAATATACATTACTTTGACCTTCATATTAAAATTGATTTATGCCAATAATTCAGCACTTCAAAATGAAAGCAAAGTATAGATCAAAATAGTTTTTCTTACCTTAAACCTGCAACCAGCCCAGCAGGCATTATTTTCTTGGACCTCTTAAATCTCACACCCATTATGGTGGCCAGGAAGAAAGCTGTAACTGAAAACCAAACCAATTCATGAACCAAAGTTTCCAACATGTTATCTTATGAATGCTTGCTTGCTTATGAAAAAAAAACCCAAAAACACGTATCATTTAAAGTTTTCTAACAGAGCAAGTATTATATATTTGCCATTTTCTTGAAAAGACAAAGTGCTCTATTAAAATACTTTATAAACCAGCTCATCACGTTTCTGAGCAAACAAACATGTTGAAAACCATTCCTGAAGTATCTTCAAAAAAGAGTCTTTTGCTAACCTAAATTTCTATTCAAGGAACACTCCTCGAAGACTAGGACTACATTTTACTCAACTTTCCTTGGAAACACTAGGCAGTACACTTGGACCACAGGAGACACTCAATAAATATTTAGTTAACTGAAAGAAAATAACTAGTATTTCTTTTAAAAGTAAGATCTGATTAATAAAATAACACTAGGAGGAAGGCTGTCTGTTTTTTCTTCATAGCATTCCATTTTGGGGAATTTAATGTCTGGAGAGTAAATAACAGTCTAAGCAATAATATTACATTCAGAAGCTCACATCAGCCTTGTAGGAGCTATACCAATATATAGAGGGAGGTGGTTTTATCTACGAGATTAGGGCATCAATGTCACAATTTAAGAACAGCTTTCAAAGAAAACTGTTCATTGATACAAAAAATAAAATGCTTGGTAATAAACATATGTGAACCACTTAAATGTATGTGATTGAAAAGCCCCATATAACTATATCTTGCTGATATATTTTTATTTTCTGATACAATCTCATAAAAAACATCCCTAGCCCCTATGTAAAATAACTAAAGAAAAAACGCCCACAAAATCTCTCCCCTTCAAATATACAACTATACAATTTTGTCTTCATCTGTACTTTCTTCCATACCCCACCATGGCACTTTGAATAATAATCAAATCAAACAGATACAATTTCCTTGGTGTAGGTTCTCTAACCTTTCACTGTATTTCTCTTTCAAAAAGAAAGCCAAGCATCACTGTGGCTTTAAACACACAGGTTTCCATTTTTTTCTGTGTACATTCTCCCATTAAGCTCAACAAGGGAAGAAGCTAAAAAAGTGTCAGTCTTGCTTTTCTATATTAAATCTTAAGGCACTGCAGAATCTAAAAGCTGTTTGTGTATTAAATAAAATAATGCAAGGCTGTCTCCTTTAGTAATTTTCATAGCAACATAAAAACTATGCTAAATATGCATTTAGAAGAATTAATATAAAATCTGGGAATAATTCTTTGCGTTTTTTAATTTAATTTTTCTAGTAGTAAGTTTTATAGAAATATTCTTCTGAGTTGGAAGACTTGGCAGGAATACCATTATTTTTTATCAGGTCTGTCTAGAAAGGAACAAGAGTTGAGTTCAGTCTTGACACATGCATATGGCCACTTGCCATTTGACTAAATATTTTCTAGTAAACCTAGCACAGGCTTATCACAAAGGCCACCTCCAATGTTTGATCCCCTAGCTGGGAAAAATGCCTTACTTACACAGTGACACTTTCACGTCTCGTTTGTCATTAGAGACACGGTAAGCTCCATAGCCAGCCAAAAACCCAACAAAAAGACCAGCAATCAAAGATGGAACACCACCTGAAAGGGGAAAAAAAAGCATGGGCTCACAAAGAGAATCCCAAAATGAAAGGAATTCATTCCATTACTTCATGTATATATGACTCAGGTGCCTTCAAGCATATTCTTACTTGGGCATTGTAACTGGACAAAGCCACATTGAGTATGGGCTTCTTCACTGATAGTTTCTAAGAAATGGCTGTTTCACGCTGAACCCTAAGTACAAGGCAGAGGAACCCCGAATGCACAGCAATGTAGGGGTTAGCTCTCTCTTGGGGGAGTAAGAAAACCTGGCATGCAGTAGTGGTTTTGACACTGATTGCATTAGCTGACTTCTTTACGGCACAATGTAAAATGTGTTACATGCATTGTTTTATTTAATCCTAATAAATTAATTTACAGGTGGGGAACTGGGACCCAGAAACTAAAACAACCCACTATCAGAGCCAGTAAGCGGTAGTGTCAGGACTAGAATTCGGGAATGCTCAATTCTGTAGCCTGTGCTTTTAACCCACATTATACTACACAAGTGAGCTTCCCGGTGAACACATAATACTCTCAGGGGCTTCCAGGATCACTCAGTGGTGGGGGGTAGAGTGGGGAGGGGTGCTCCTTCGGGAGGCCAAGAAACCATCTTGTGCCGCTGGGCAGCAAGCCACTGCAATCAGATACCTTACAGCTAATGTAACTTCATTTGTCCCCACCAGCTGGTAAAACCTGCAGAGATTTGAGTTGGAATAATAATATAATTCCTCCCGCCCCAACACACATACGCTCTTTTCTTCCCACCCCTCAAACAGGTAGGCAAAAATGTCCAGATGTTCTTTTCTATTCTGTAATAGGAGTTTGTTTAGACATGTCTTTGACAAAGAGAAAAAATGTTTTCAATAACAATCCTCAGGATTTTAAACTGAGTCCTCTTTCAAGTAGATTATGAATACTCTGGTTTCTCTTCAGATCATATAAATTTGTCACCTTTTGCTAAAGGTGATTACGAAACACCAACTTCTGAGTAGTTTAACAGGTTTTATTTTGGTGCCATTTTTTCCCCCTTCACACATATCCACGATGATACACATATTAAGAGAGAAACAACAAAAAATTCTAACGTGAATTACAGACTTTAAGGAATCTTAGAAGATAGCCTCTTCTAACCTGTCAGCCCCTCAGCTACTAGAGAGAACTGTGCTTCTGGCCTTTAACTTCTTAGTATTCACTAAAAAATGAAGCTAACTGGTAACTGTGTAGACCTGGCTTTTTCACTCCAATTCAAATACAACATGCTTTGAAATAAAAGTTCACTTTAAAAATTTCATTAAAATAAAAAACAAAAATATGAAACACCATGACTGTAATTGATTCTACCTTAAAACAAAGCAAAATATAAAATTTTAACCTTTCCTTTTTCTCCATGAAAACCCTTTAATTGCTTAATCGGGTTTTTTCCCCCTCTTTTGGACAGTGATGAAAAGATGACTTTGGATATGATATCTAAGTATTTAACAAATTTTCTTTTGCAACACACAGTATCAATATAACTTAGTCTTTTGGTACCATGATTATGTAAACAAAAAAAAAATCCTCATTTAATAATAAGCAGAGGCCCTGAAGGAGGTTAAGTCAATTACACAACTGATAATGACAAGGGAAGTTAGAGTTTTGTGGTAGAGAGAGGCCAGAAGCCCAGGTTGTAACACTCTGCCATGCCCAGGCCCCCAAGACATGCTGGAAGCCAGCCACCTCGGAGACATCTTCAGCTTCTTGTCCCACTTACAGACCCTCAGATGACCCTAGCAAAACCAACAATTCCCCACTAAGTCCCTTTAATGAAATTTGGTTCCAGCTTACCTCTCCGCTTATATCCCAAAATACTTCCAAATGTCACGAGGGCTGCGTAACCAAAACCGACCAGGTCCATTGGCAAGGTTGCAACTCTAAAGCAAGGGGGAAGGCACAGAGTATATAAAAATTACATGCATCTCATAGAATTACAGAAGTTTGTCCAGTCTACTAAAGAAAAAAGGGAAGTTTGATGTCATCTTTACGCGCAACACTCAACCAGCTTCCCCTGGTCTCTCACATCTCCCAGAGCCATTCTCGGCGGCACCTTAATGGTGATCCCTCTGCCCTGCTGTTCAAGACCCTGCCACATAATCTCAGCTTGTTTAATTCCTTTTACTTCCTCCGACTCCAATCCGCACCTTCACTCTAGAGATGTAATAATTAGGCTCTCCCCACCACATAAAGCATGCCATCGCTCCGTCACGCGCTTAACTTCTCCCCGTTCCGCCCTCTTGTACACCTCCAAATCTCCTTAACTCGCCTGCATCGTTCCAACTGGTCTGCAGCAATGATTTCTCCTGCTCCCAAATTCCTTGACTCGTTATTCACTAACTTTTTTCATATTGGTCAGTGAGTTGTCCTATGAACCCCAACATCGAGAGAACAGGAAGGTTGATATGTATGTGCTTGTTTGGTGACAACGATGATTTCATCTGCAACATCTTTTTGTCACCTCTGTGTGGAATAGCTCTTCTGCTGTAGCAGAGGCATCCATACTGTAATCAACGGCAAATCACCAGAAGAACAAATGAAAGCCCTTGGCACGTATTTATTGGAGGACAATGACATCTATTGATGCCACAGCAGCAGAACCGCACAATCGCAGCAGTGAGGATAGTTCACTGGGAAATCCTACCCACAGTTCTCGTAAGGTGGCAGTAGACAGTGTGCTGGCTGCAGGCTGGGGTCAGGGACACGCGGCACTAGCTGGGTACTGGTCCTTGGGATCATACCCCTCCCGCGCGAAATCCCCAAAGTTGAGGGAAATAGATGAGACCGAACTGTGGCAAGTTCTTGCAGAGCTTTTTTGAAGTCTAAGATTCGGTAGCGGTGGTTTTATATCTTCACTTTCTTAATCTATATTTCCTCTATGGGAAAATAATGATCTTTGTAAATAGGAGGGATGGTATATGAGATTTCTTACGTATTTTTACAATTTTCTCACTGCTTGTCATTTAGGTTAACTGGGCCTTTATTCTGTGTCTTTTATTGAGCCATCTTTTTTCTAGGCAAGAATGATTCAGAAGAGTGGAAAAAGGGTTTTGAGCTTATCTCAGAGAATCAACTAGAACTTCCTGCCCCGAGGAAGGGTCTTGGGGGGAGGGAATGTGAGGCACAGAAGGAGATGCTGACACCAAAAAGGAGCCAACACTGAAAAACCCTCAACATCCACAGGGAGAAGAACTAAAACAGGAAAGCTCCTCTGTGCCCAAGCAGTGGGACAGTAGGTGCCAGGCACCATTCTAAGGCCTTACGGCATCAACTCATTTAATTATTACCACAAGCCTATGAGGTGCGTACTACCATCATTAGCCCCATTTTCTAGATGAGGAAACTGAGGTACAGAGAAGGGAAGCAATGCCTCAAGGTTGAACAGCAGAACCAAGATTTCAAACTCTGGGAAGTCTCACCCCCAAGCACTATGCAACACCACCTCTGATAACTGACTTAGCAGGGTGAAAAATGTGAATATGCAAATGAAGCTGATGTTCTCCAGAGTTTTCCATTCTGTCCCTTTGGCCTCAGTGGGACAGACCAGAGACCGCGGTGCTGTCTCCATCTGGCAACTTTATCATGTTCAGCACCCCATGCTGAGCCCTACCTGCTGTCTTTCTCAGGGACTACCCCATTCCACAATGTACATCCGGCTTCAAACCTGATACCACTGCTGTAAAATTAGGCACATTCCTTAACCTCTTTGTGACTCAGTTTCTCCGTCTTTAAAATAAAAGGATAATAAAAATATCTACTGAATAGGGTTGTGAGAATTAAATGAGTTAATACTATAAAACACTCAGCACATATTGAGCACTAAATATTAGCTGCTCTAGTATTAATGATTATTCTTCTCATTCACCCTATATTTCTTTTTAAGCTTGATGTGTATCAAGCCATTATTAAAGCACACAGAAAACTGAGGTGGGGGCATTTCTGATTCAGGCAGTCAATGAATCATACCATATTATTACAACTTATATTTATATGCAATTCCATTTAACAACCATTTATTGAGCATCTGCTTTGTGCAAGGCAGTAGTAAGTGATGGAAAGCCCTAAGACATGGCCTTGGTCCTCCAGGACTTACAGTAAAGCACAGCAGGAGACAGATGAGCTAAGAGGAGAGGCATGGGCACCATAACAGGGAGTGGCACCTGACAAGGCATAGGAGCCCAAGGAGGGCTGTTCAGAGGAAGCAGGCTGGGACCCTGGGGAGGGCAGGAGTAAGCCAAGTGAAGAGGGTAGCAAGGAAGGGTGAACATGTGCAAGGCACCAGTGGCATGAAAAAGCACGGCATGATCTCCATATGAAAAGCGCAAGGGGTCGTGAAAAGAGAGCGAGCAGGCGGGAAAGACAGGCTGTACACCCACATAAGCTTCATAAAGGGAGTCTGGCTTCTGTCCTAAGAGCGGTGAGGGATCAATGAAGTAAGCCTCACAATGAGATTCACATTCCAGCAAGCGCTACCTGGCTGCAGGCTGTTGCAGAAACTAAGCAAGAGCTTAGCTGATGAAGGGAGGATGGCCTAGAGAAATGCAATGAGGGCAGAGAGAAGCTAGTTGGATGTGAGAGGTTCAGGGGTAGAATCTACAGGCCTGGATACGGAGAGGGAGGGGCGGGGATGAGTCACAGATGACTCACCCCTAGGCCCCTGGCACCGACCATTAGGAGATATGAGGGATAGGGGGGCCTGATGCTATGCCCTGAGACAGGGAACACTGGAACAGCAGCAGGTGTGTGGTGGAGGGAAGGGGGAGGTGACCAGGAATGATGGACCCACTTGGAACAGATTAAGTCTGAGATGCCTGGCACACAGGTAGGAAAACACCCTTACATAAAGATTAAGTGGTAATTTGGAGACCCATTTTCTCCTAATGCCAAGCAGCTGGCGTGAAAGGCTGACTCCCCTCTCCATCCTGAGCAGCCCCCCTCCCCAGCTCTTCCTGTAACCCTCTCTTAGGGACCCATCCCCCTTCACTTGGTATAAAGTTATTGAAGATTCTCTCTTCTCTCAGGCAGTGTGGCTCCTTGAGGGCAAACCCAGGTTCAATGTCTTTGTCATCCTTACAACAGCAAGACCCCTGTCCCGCACAAGGCAGGTGCTTGCAAAAAATGAGTTGGTGAATGGGTGAACCAAAGGAACAGCTTCTGCCCGCAGAGATTCTGTAACTGCACTACCCAATACAGCTCTACTGCAAGGAAACAGGCAGCCCCCTAATCTCCTTAGTGAACTGAGTGTTGTTCTAAGGAGGCAAAATAAATCTACTCCCCAGTACTTGCAAGATGTTTCTATTCTCATAGAGAAAATCCAAACAAAAAGCAATCAACCCTCTTGCTCCTTTTCCAGGGCAGGGCCATTTAGCCAGCCCAGAAGCACGTATTAAAGCCGGAGGCCGAGTTAACAAGCGAGGGATGGTGTGGGAGACTACGTGCACCGAGCATCAACGCTCCCTCTGCGGACGCGGTGCTCACGGCTTGGAATGACCAGAAAGCGTCTTGGGTGCAATGCAGCTCAAAGGCTGACCGCAACGCTTACAAAACCACGTGACAGGCCCCTGCCTCCGCGCCCGCCCCAAGACCTCCAAAATCTGGGGAACTCACTAAAGGATTTTCCATAATCTATTTATATAAAAAGCATGTTCACATGCTAAAAACAACAACCTACCCTTGAGCTTTTTGGGGGGCACGAAGGACACCTTTTCGAGCGGAAGTCTGGGTGGTGCTGGGAAGGGTGAAATCTCGCCAAGCATTTTTACAACGGTCCGTGAACCGCCTCCTCCTAATCACGACGCAAGCTCCAGCAAGGTAGGAGACAGGGCAGGTGGTAGGTTTAGGGCCGTTAGAAGGCAGGAATTTCCAGGAGGAGAAATGAACGCTGTCAGCGGAGACCCCATCCCCCGCAAAATCCCCCCAAGGTCCTCTGCATCATTGATTGCTGCAGGGATTTCGGGGTTGGGGGGCCCATTCAGCAAAGTCCCTTTTATTTCTGCGCCTTTGCAAGAAACTTCAAGGCAGGAAGGTCTCGACTGCGGGATGCACAGCTCACCTGCAGCCCCGAGCCCTCACCGCAGATGAAAAGAGGTCAGGGTCCAGCCACCGGCAAGGGAGGTACCTGGAGTCCGGAAGCGGTCTCCGCGCCAGCGCCGTCCAACCCTACACCCTGCCTTCTAGAGCCGAGCCGGGCCCACGCCTTCCCGGCTGCACGCATGCGCTACGTGCCTCCCTCGCTCCGCCCCGCCCGCCGGGCGGAGCCACGCCCCCAGCCGGCCACGCCCCAGCGGCAGCCACACCCGCCCCTTGCTCTGCTGGTCTGGTCTTAGGCCCAGTCCTAGAGCCGGGGCTGCGGTCTGCTGCCTCCTGCCTGATGGAGCGGGACTGGCAGGCACTCGCGGGGAGCCCGTCCCGGTGGAGCAAGGACCCCAGAAGGCGAAGAGATGAACAGCGAAGCTCATTCGTTATTCGGCGGACATTTGGGGGACATCCACGGCAACCCAGGCCTTTTACATACTCTCCAGCAGACTGTCCCCATTTCCAGTGGTGGGAGTTAAGGGTCAGAAAGGTGAGGTGATTTACTTGTCCAAGGTGAGACTCTAGGTTTGTCTGGTTTTAAAGCCCAACCACCTTTCATTACACTATCTGTGGGGTCATCTAGATTGGGCTGGGAGACCAGGATGTTGGTTTTATACTTCAGGCCCAGGATTTGCTAGGCTTAGATAGCTAAGGGGAAAGGTATACAATTCCATAGTTGGAAATCAGTTCAAATTGTGCCTAGTCCAGGACAATCTGAATCTTAAACTGATTTGAAATTATGCCTCCCCCAACAACTTCTCATCTCACTCTTTTGCTTTCTAGGCTGAATACAGCAATTACAACCTTCTTCCTTATATAATAGCCTTTCAGAAATATGAACAAGGCTGTCATCTCGGTGTCAAGCAGCTCTAGAAATTTTGTGGTGCTGAGAATAATAGCAGAATTCCTCAGAATTAAAAAAAAAGACCCCAAGAATTAAAAAAAGTGCTTCAGGGAAGTAATATAACTGTACCTAACTCATGGGAAGTCTAAGTTGGTCCTAGGGAGTTAAGCTTTCTGTAAGATTCACAGGAGAGCTGATGGCAAGGCACTGGGATGGGAGTAGCAGGAGTGGTATTCCTGAAGTTTGGTTCTGAGTTCTGTCCCAGCTCTCCTTTCCACCCCTTACTATGCCCATCCTTCCCCCCCAGCCTCCTCCCTCTCTCTCTTCTGACTCCCAAGACACTTTCCCTATTTGGAATAAAACCAAAACCCTCTTGGAACACCTCAGTATCGTCAACTGATATGACCTGGGCAAATAACTTCTCCCTGGCCTTCAGTGCCTGGATTTAAGATTTGGCTCAGACTAGATGCAGAGATCCCTTCCACCTTGCCAACAAGTGTATGAAGCTGGAAACCACCTCGTGATATTCCTACTTGAAGCATTTTTCCTAAACCTAACAGAAGAGCTCTTTGTGTATCATGGGAATTCTACACCCTTGGACTCGTGGGAACAGGATGGTTTTTACTTAGGCAAAGGGACCACTACCTTGGCTGCTGCTCCTCTAGCTAATGGAAAGGTTGCAGCACAGGTGAGGGTGCAGCAAAACCTATTTACCTCTACCTATTGGTAGAGCTTTCTATTCATGACCCGCAGCAGAGACTCTTAACTTCCAATGGACATTGACCCCTCTGGCAGTCTGGAGAAATGTACAAAATAAAATATATAGGATTGCAAACGAAGCCAATGTTATTGAAATACAGTTACCAAATTATTCAACATGTAAATCTGTGATAAAGTAGATGTGCTTCTTTACTAACATATTAAAGATGACAAGATCTAGATAGAGGTGGGTCTATCTAGCTAATTATTACCAACATTTCAAAGTCGTGCTACACGTAAGCAATATTTCAAGGTATCTGTGACATGTATCTGTGATTCCTAGTGATGACAGAGACACGGGTACTAATACTGATACTGCAGTGAGGTTTTGCGTATTTTCCTAATGGAAAGAAATGCTAAATTTCAGTTAGAGGTCAGTGAAAATAGAAATTTCTTTTTCCCAATCAACATCTCAGATTCTGATTTTTATCCTCAGGCCCTTTGGATCTGTAGATGCCAAATTAAGAACTCCCAATCTCTCGTAATGCAAGTTTTTGTAGCGTTCATACAGGGGGAATCAGAGACAGGGAGGCAAGGTCAAGAGCCCAACTCTCTAACAAACTGGTGGCGCAGGCAGGGCCTCACTGCTTGTACCTCGACGAATATTCTGCAGATCCCCAGCCTGGTTCTTATGTTCAAATGTTCAGAAACGCAGTTTGTCTCATTTCTTCCAAGTGTATCCTGGCTTCTGGGAGACTGATTCATACAAACCAAAGTCACAGGAGTACTTAACTGATTTCTTTTTTCAATCGCACTTCAGATTCTTGATTTTTCTCTCCTTTCAGATCCCTGTGGCTATTTATCATTTAGGCCTCTGCTTGTCAGTGAAAAACAATTTGAACAAGTTACCAATATATGTATATTATTTATTTAGAAATGTCCTGTTTAACTTGGCTGCCCTTTTCTGGTGACATTTTTTTTTTAGTTCCAAAGCACTCTTAGTTCCAAAAAAATGAATCACTTTTCCATCATATGAGTTTTTGTCTCAACCTAACATAACACTGAACAACTCAGGTGCAGTTATCCTGTCCTTTTCTAGGCTCCTGCTGGCCTCATCAAAGACCATGGAGAAAGGGCATATAAATTTTTACTTTAATCCTTTTCTCCACTCTTATCCTCATCATAGTTTCAAATCAAAGGACATTCTTCTTGTATCATACTTTGAAAATATGATTTTATGGCAAGCCAACATTTTAGCATCTTTTCTATGGCTGGCAGCAGTGATGGCCGTCCTGTAGGCACATGTCTAAAGAGGTTGTCACCTTCCACTTCTATGAAGTCAAGAATCTTATCAAGTGCTTCTATACATTTTGAAGACATTGAAAAGTGACCAGAGGCCGGGTGCGGTGGCTCACGCCTGTAATCCTACACTCTGGGAGGCTGAGGCGGGCAGATTGCTTGAGGTCAGGAGTTCAAAACCAGCCTGACAAGAGCGAGACCCCGTCTCTACTATAAATAGAAAGAAATTAATTGGCCAACTAATATATGTAGAAAAAATTAGCCGGGCATGGTGGCGCATGCCTGTAGTCTCAGCTACTTGGGAGGCTAAGGCAGGAGGATTGCTTGAGCCCAGGAGTTTGAGGTTGCTGTGAGCTAGGCTGACGCCATGGCACTCAGTCTAGCTTGGGCAACAAAGCAAGACTCTGTCTCAAAAAAAAAAAAAAAAAAAGAAAAGAAAAGTGACCAGAAACTTTCATTATGGAAGTCTCAATTTACATTTAAATAAAATAGATCATATCCCTTTTTAGCAGTGTTGTATATAAGATGTGCAAGACAGTGAACAGGTAAGATCTTTTCTTTTTTTGGTAGTAAGTTTATAGACTGAATGGAATTTACTAAAAATTGCACCTGTACTGTTTGATGAATATGCAGACAGTTGAGCTAAGTCTAGTTTGTATTTATATAAAATATCAACAATATTTTATGATTTCAACAGTTTCATTAAAATACTCATAGAAATCAGGAAGACTATTTGAAACACTGATTTTCAAGTCCAAAGTACCTAACAGCCAGAGGAAATATTTTATGTTGCCATGATCCAGTGTCAGTGTATCACTTGAAGGTGATAAATATACTGTGGAAAGCATGATTGCCAGTGAGATATGACAGAATCAGCTCTACACTGTAAGAGGCCAACACAATTGTTATCAAAATTTCCCCTTTGTTTGCCCACAGAATATTTCAGTTGCAACTCCTGAATCATGAAATGTAACTTTACTCAGTTTCATAGTGCAGTCAAAGGAACAATATGACAATACATGTTTGTTCATGTGGTGTGACAAGCTAATTCAGAGGCTGCTATTCTTGACTGAACATTGGTGTCTTTTTGGGAAATGAAAATACTTCTGATTGATTTAGAAGCATTCACCTGTCTCATTGTGGACTTGGGAGATTTGGTTTACATGTGCACTCTCACATCCCCATGCCCAATCCCAAATTATTTTGTGTATATTGTGCAGTATGCTCTGTTTTGGTTATTTATCTCCCTAATCCAGTTGTATGTGTCCTTCCATCTGTCATTAAAATAACATGGTCCTTTAGTCTTCTTTTTCGGTGATGGGGGTCATGGTTATGTTGTATTATAATCATTCTCATTTTCATCATCTGACCTCTTAGTAAACATGGTCACAATATTCACAATGTTAAAAAACTGAACTAGCACTATATTGATACAAAGCACAACAGTTAATCCACAGACAAAGTCACAGATGAACTGTTAACATTCATGCTATACACTTAAGTCACGTCACTTTTGAGTGACACAATAATGGAAGGATGACCATATGGTGAACTGCAAATTGAAGTTGCCAACATTGGTGTTCAGGGCAAAAATGGGCAACTACAGAACGTGGATAATCTATGCCATATCCATTTGACGCTGAAGACAGTGTTGCTTTCAGCCCCTCCAAAACTGTATAGGTTTTGTACTTTTCCTCCAATCTTCCACACTTGTTGCCAAAAATCAGGCCCTTTCAAAGGTTCAAACCTTTCGAAGGTTTTCCAGGATTCAATACTCTTGACCCCAAAATTGGGATGGCTAGTCACCCTACTAAGTCCCCATTAACCCAAGGGTTAGCTCTCTAGAGGTGGGAGGGGAGGCACGTGGAACTGGAGACTCCTTACCTTGCTTCCACTGATAGAGCTGAACTTCTCCAGAATATTTCTCACAGGTTGCTCTTCTTTAAAAGTGATAAAGATAGAACCTTGTCTTTTGTTAGACTTTAAATCCACTGAAAGCTCAATGTTCTCAATCTGAAAACACAAGCAAAGTTTAGGGGCCAGTGCCTTCCCCTGGCTCAGGTCCTAAAGGGAACTAATAGGGAAGAAGGTCCCCCAAAGTCCAGAAAGGAAATAAAGAATCCCACTGAGAACTCCAGTCAGCCAAGGAAGGAAGGGGAAAAGCAGCCACTGGTGCTGGTAGGGAGCATAAACCATACCCTGGGGAGACACTCACCTCCCCAAAAATGCCAGAGCACTCCCTTGTCTTCTCCTCAGTGGTTTTGGGGTTCAGACTCCCGCAAGGATGTTTTTCACAGGATCCATCTTCATGGCTGTGGTCTTTTGGGGGTCCATGCTATGGCCACTCAGCCTGTGCTCCTTCTGATGTTGGACCTGTTCCAACAGGTTGATCAACTGTTCAGATTTTCCAAGGACTGAGGTGTTTGGAGACCTTCAGGATAAAACCAGAAGTGAGGAGTTTCCCAAAAAGCAGGGCTTTCAGTGCTAAAACCACAACTAAAAGATTTCCCAGGATGAGGGACTTTTAGCACTACAACTGGTTTCCCAGTATGTAGGACTTTTGGTGCTAAAGCCCGGACAATTCCTTCTGAGAATGTGGGTAGGTAGATTCTCGTTCTAATTCTAACTCGCATTTCTTAAGAGCATTACCCAAGGCTGGTCCTTTCTTTTTGAGCCATGAAATTCCACCACAGGTACAAAAATATTTCCTCCCCTCCAAACATACCAAACTCTAACTAAGCCTGACTTCCTAATTTTCTCCAAAGCTGAAATCCAGTTGGTTTACCTACGCACAAAAAAATCAGTTCTCACTCCCTTGAAGCCTTTGTCCATGCTTTGAGCCTTCTTCCTTTCCTGACAATCCTAATATAAGACTTGTTTCCTCCAGAAGTAGCAGGAATTAAGGATACAGGCTGGAGCCAAGTTGCTGGGGTTGGAATCCTTGCTGTTCCACCCCCCACTCACTGTGTGATCTCTTCTAGTTACTTAAATCTTCTCTGAGCCTCAGTTTCTTCCTCGGTAAATTGGCACCCAAATGCCCATCTCATAGCATACTTACATGTGAAGCATTTAATGCAGTGCCCCCAAACAGGCATAGAAACAGGTACTAAATGTCTATGATCCTCTTCCTGGACCCCTCTAGCCCATATATCTCTCATTCCCCACTTAATCGATACAGAACAAGTCCCTAAAATTGGCTTCCCCCAGTGCCCTTGGCCACATGCAGTTCAAAGTGACCATGATCCAGGAATGCTTTTCTCTTAGAAATCAAATCCCATGCACAGGGACCCTTGATGGTGTACATAGCTTACCTCCACACTGGCTGCATCTTTAAAAAGGATAAATGTCAACCTCCCCCCCCCTTTTTTTTTTTTTTTTAGAAAACTGCCTTTATTCTATTAGTAGTTGGAAAAATTAACTGGTGCAGAAAAAGTTCAGTCAGTTGGAGGAGTCAACCCTCTTGATTTTCCAGTGTTAGGATCCGTTTTGGGGGGGATAGTCAATGACCTCTCCAAATTTGATAAAAGAGCCTTTTGAGTCTTTTCTTGCTGGTCTCCCAGCTCTGGCCACCATTGAACAATTTTCTGAAAAGGCGGGGTTTAGACACATGGCGACGAAAGCTCTTACAAGGAAGCCCTGGGCTTAGAATTCTGGTCTTTACAAGAAAGCCTGGAGTCTAGGAAAGGCCGGAGTCTCCTAAAGCTTTCACTGGGAAGATTACAAATAAAACCACCATCCACCGCAAAGGGTCTACACCCAACCCACCTAGAATCTGTAAAGATTCTACCTTTGACAGATGCTCACAAGTCTACGCTACCTCCTTACTGAGATCTCAACTCCACCTTGGCCCTAACGGAGCTCAACGAGACCACAGCCCCTCAAGGCTGGGAGAGGGAAAAGGAAAGGCAACCTCGCCAGGGCACGGGCACGGGCGTGGGCGCTCGGCAGTTTGTCTACAGCCCTCTTATCAAAGGGCTGTCGTCTATCTCTTCGCCTAGGTGTCGCTCTCAAGGAACTCGGTCTTCCTGGGGCCGAGACTGCGGTCAGATGCTGACTCCTTGCCCAGGGGAAGGAAGGAGCAAGGAGGGGGAGGCCTTGGCTGGACTCTCAGACCCCGAGTCAGCGCGGCCCCGGGCCGGAGCGCCCGCCACCCGCCCTCTCCTCCGGGCGGCGCTGAAGTCGGACCAGCCACTCCCGCCCAGGCCACGGCGCCTACCCCGCGTCCTCCTCGTTCTTGCCGCCGGCCATCCTGACGCCGTGGCCTTCGGAGGCGGCCTCGTGCTGGTTCCCAGTGGCCCGGTGGTCTCCACGGGCTGCTCGCGCTCACCTGCTTGACACGCCGCGCAGACCAGTCCCAGCCGCAGCCCCTCAGCCCCGCACTTCCGCTGGAGCCGCGGGCTGCGCGGGAACGCCCACCTCGGGGGCGGGCCCACCTCGCCCAAACCACATGCTTATTGGCTAACTCTGCCCTGCCACTCAGCCGTGTACCAGCGTCCCATTGGCCGCAACGGCGCGCGCGCTAAATCCCCGGCAGGTTTGTGCTCGGCTGGGGACCGCGCAGAGCCGGGTCTCCGCTGAAGCCCGGCCTGTCCCTCCCCGCTTCCGTGTCAGGACTTCGCCAAAGTGAAAACGAGCCAAGAGTAAGACAAAACAAGTTCAAATCCCAAAAGCAAAGCAGCCGAAAGGAAATTCAAAGAAAGCATATATTACTATAAATGAGAAAAGTATAATTAAACAAAAATCAGTTCTTGCAAAGCGAAGAACTAAAAGTCCAAGGGGTGAGTTCAAGAGAAGATAAAAAGGGAATGTGATTTCAAGTTTAGGACATTTATACCGATTTCTGCAAAAATTTCACCGTCTATGAATCAAGCTTTTCTCCTCCTTGCCTTTCCCATGGGAAGGCAGCAGGGGGCACTAGGTGCCAGGGTTTCATGCAGCGAGGCAAGGCGTTATAGCGACTTGTTTTCCAACAGAGAGCAGTGAGAACATCTTAGAAAACAGAGATGTTTATGAAATTTAACAGGAAATGAGGAAAACAAGGCGATGGTCTACGGAGAGGAATGTTTCTGAGAAAAAAGGTATGCGATTTCTGCATTACACCCTGTTGACTAAAGAAGACAGTTTCCTGAAATATAGTGGCAAGGAGAAAAAAAGCCAATTATAGGACATAAGCGGGAATTTTTTTTTTTTTTTTTTAAGACAGAGTCTCGCTTTGTTGCCCAGGCTAGAGTGAGTGCCGTGGCGTCAGCCTAGCTCACAGCAACCTCAAAGTCCTGGGCTCAAGCAATCCTGTTGCCTCAGCCTCCCGAGTAGCTGGGACTATAGGCATGGCCAACATGACCAGCTAATTTTTTTTCTATGTATATTAGTTGGCCAATTAATTTATTTCTATTTATAGTAGAGACGGTCTTGCTCTTGCTTAGGCTGGTTTCGAACTCCTGACCTCGAGCAGTCTGCCGCCCCGGCCTCCCAGAGTGCTAGGATTACAGGCTTGAGCCACTGCGCCCGCCCATAAGCGGGAATTTTGAGGTGGCCTCTGGAAGAGATGCGGGCAGTGGAGAGTGACCATCAGGGCACGGGCAACTCCCTGTCGTGGGTCTTGCATCTGGATCCACACTGAACTTTTGCCAAGGACATGGGACTTTCCAGGCTAAAACCAGGACTAAGGGTTCCCCAGGACAGGGGACTTTCCCATAAGCAATAATGATGACAACAACAACAACAGCAATAGCAACAAACATTTGATGAGTACCTGTTGTGTGCCGAAAACTGTTCTAAGCACTTTACTCTTTTTTTTTGGCAAAGACTGGAGAACAACTAAGCACTTTACTCTTAATCTTCACAACAATTCTTTAGGTAGGTACTATTAATACTTTCTCCTCATCTTACAGAGGGAGGCAACTTGAGGCAAACTGAGGTCACTTGCCAAAGGTCACACAAACAACTAAGACCTGTCAGATCCGGGTTTAAGAAGAGAGTGTGGATGCAGGCTCTGTTGTCATTCTGCCTGGGTTTAAACCATGGCTGCATCACATACGCTATTAATACAGGACGGCATGTAGCATTGACTGACGGGCACATGGGAAATACTCAACAGTGTTGGCCATGATTATTAAAGGAGTGGTGCCTGCTCTCCAGGAGCTTAAAAACTAGTGAAATAGTTAAAGAGGTTGGTAAGTTTCATAAAGCAATAAAGGTGCAAGGTGCCTATTGAATGGGCGAATGGGATAGGTAATAAATGCATGCACGAATTCAGAGGGAACTGTTATGAAACGGAGTGGTCAGACCCGGGTCTCATTTAGGGTGACACCTGCTTAAAATTCTGCACGAGCAACCTGCCTGTCACCGTTAGAAGGCAGCCTCTGTTCCTGAATGACTTGAGCTGATCATTATTACATTCTTTGTATTTGATTATCATATGCATGTGTGTGTTTTACTAAAAATACAATTTTTATTTGTCATTCAAATTCAATAAGGAATGGTGTTTAACCTACATTTTTTGCTGGTGGAAGCATTTACTAATTTTACAAATGTTTATCTTAGCTGTCAAGCCCTGGACTAGGATTCAGAAATAAACAGGGTGCCAAGTCAGAGACTAACTCCGGACTGTGGGGAGTGGGAAAGGATATCATTTTAATTGAAACCTGAAGTCTGAGAGGTAGACAGCAGGCAAGGAGCCAGAAGAACCACAGTGTGGGCAGCAGTAACGGGCTGTGCAAAGGCCCTAGGTGGGGAAAGGGTTCTGTGCCCCTTGAGAACCAAACGAGGGTACTTGGCGCTGAAGATTTGTGAATTAGACGCAGGGTGAATTGGTTCAGCAGCAAGCTGTGGTCGTTCACAAATAGCCAGGGCTCAGTATGGTTTCCTGCCTCTGAGTTTTCTATTTCAATCATCTGGACTGTGCAGTTTCCAGATGTTGCCGAGTGGAAACTTTACATCATGGGGTGAGAGGTAATCTTGGTGTGCAGCTTGTTTTTCATTGATTGTCTGTAACTGAATTTAATGCAATGTGTCTGTGTACATTTAAGTCTAGAAGACTTGAGTCTTCTGTCTTGAGTCACATGACTCCTCACTCTTCTCTTTTGCTTAACAGTAAAATAATTACGTTCTTCTCTATAGTAAATGGATTTTACATGCGTTCACTAACATACATTGATGACACAACTTCGTCTTTCCCTAAAGAGATTTTTTGGAAATAAAAACCAAAAACAAATATTAATATTAAAGGTAGCTCAATCTTCCGTATCCCATTAGTCTCCATGGATCCGCTACTGTACTTGTGATTCTTGGATTATAAAAAGCAAACAGATAATTGGCTTAGTGAGAAAGAAGACTTGATGTACAGGGTTCATTCATGTGTCTTCTTCGGGTTTCTTTGAGCAAACAACCTTTAATGCAATAGAAATGGTATCCTTGAGGAAAAGCAGATTATCTTATCTGATAATGCTGTCACTTCTCATTACATTAATGTTACTCTGATAACACATTTTAAACGATGTTTTTAATTCAAAAGAAAAAGTCTCAAGAGAATGCTTAGGCCAAAAAACAGACAATAATAATACTTGAAAATTCACAATTCAGGTACATTCTAAAGATCCTCTCAACAATGCAGTGGAAGTCACTGTAAAGGTCAAATTGGGTCCACGTTTAATAAGAGGAAGGATTCAGTCCCTTTCACCTTTCCTTTTATAGTGTGGTCCAAGAGGCTGCTTGTTATAACAAGTTTAAGTGAGATGTCTAAGAAATTTCTTGGAAAGGAGAGAAGTATTAAAGAATCTTAAATGCCAGCCAGGTGTGGGTGGAGTGTTACTTTTAAAACAGAACAACATACCTGTAATACCTTACATAGGCTCTAGAATACCTGGCAGCATTTGTATAGCTCACCTTTTTTTTGTCTAGACTTAATAAAGATGACAGTGGCCCACCCCCCTTATCTGCAGGAGATATGTTCCAAGACCCCCAGTGGATACCTGATAGTATCCAAGGATAGTACCAAACCCTGTCAACCATCTGCTATGTTTTTTTTTTTTTTTTTTACCTAACCTAGACAGCTACTAAGTAACGGGAGGGTAGCATGGATATTCTAGACAAAGGGATGATTCACGTCCAGAGCAGGATGGAGTGGGATAGTACGAGACTTCATCACACAACGCAGAATGGTGAACAATTTAAAACTTATGAATTATTTATTTATGGAATTTTTCCGCTTAATATTTTCAGATGCAGTTGACGGAAACCCCAGACAATGGAACTGCGAATAAGAGGGGAACTACTACTGTACTGGGATGAAGATGGGGAGGAAGTAATTACATTATTTATGAAATGGCTTTTTATTAATAAAACATTTTTAGTAAATTATTCCAGTAGCAAAGTAGTTAATAATGTTGGCTTTTAGGCTTAAGTTTTCAATTAGTGAAGCTTCAAGCCTAGGAGACTGCTGGATGAATAAGAAATATTCAAGGCTTCTCCCTTATAGTGACTGGGGCTGCGGCCAAAATGCAATAGGATGTCTCTTTGTTGTTCCCTATTGAAAAGATGTTTCTACAGACAGAACATTAGACAATTTTTTTTCTTTCTCTTCTTAAAGATCTCCTTGGAGGCTTCTGAGATGCCTAATTCAGTGGTTCCCAAATTTGCTGCCCATAAGATCACCTAAGCATCTTTAAAAAACACTGATGCCTGGCTCCTGCTCGCAGACAATGTAAATGTATTAATACTTTAATTGGAACTGGCTGCAACCTAGGTATGGGGAGTGTTTTTTAAATTAATCTTTTCATATTAAGATAGTTGTAGATTCCAAAAAAATAATAGAGAGATTCCTTGTACTCTTTATCTGATTTCCCCCAATGATAACATCTTCCAAAATTATAATACAACATCACAGACAGGATATTGACATTGATACAGTCAGATACAGAACATTTCCATAGTGATGGATCCTTCTCTCCTGTGGGCATTTTATAACCACACCCACTTCCCCACCCACTCTAACCTCCTTCTTAACCTCTGGCAACCACTAATTTGTTCTATAATTTTCTCATCTCCAAAAAAGGAAAAAAAAAAGAATGTTATATAAATGTAATCATATAGTATGTAACCTTTGGGGATCAGCTTTTTTCGCTCATAATTCTCTGAAGATCCATCCACGTTGTTGCATGTATCAATAATTAGTTCCTTTTTATCACTTGGTGATATACTATGGTATGGATCTACCATTAGTTTGTTTAACCATCTGGATTGTGTCCAGATTGTGGCTATTACAAATAAACGTGCTACAAACATCTGTGTACAAATTTTTGCATGAATATACATTTTCATCTCTCTAGGGTAAATACCCAAGAATAGAATTGTGTGGTGGGTGCACATTTAGTGTTTTAAGAAATTGCCAAACTGTTTTCCAGAGTAGCTTTACTGTTTTACATTCCTACCAGCAATGTATAAGCGACCCAGTTTCTCTGCATCCTTGCCAGCATTTGATTTTGTCACTATTTTGTGTCTTAACCCTTCTAATAGGTGTGTAGTGATATTACATGGTGGTTTTAATTTGCATTTCCCTAACAGCTAATGCTGTTGAACATCTTTTCATGGACTGATTTGTCACCATTCAGTGAAGTGTCTCTTCATGTCTTTGGCCCATTTTATAATTGGATTATTTCTTTTTTTTTTACCTTTGAGTTTTGGAAGTTCTTTGTAAACTCTAGATATTAGTCTTTTGTCATGTATGTGGTTTGCAATGTTTTCTTCCAGTCTGTAATTTGTATTTTCATGCTCTCGGCAGAGTCTTTTGCAGAGCAAAAGTTTTCAATTTTTATGCAATCAAATTTGCATTTATCAATTTATCAATTTTTCCTTTTATAGATTGCACTTGACTATCCAGCGTTATAAACCGAAAAGCCTTTGCATCAAAGACAGAGTCCCTCGCTAGAAAAAGTTTTCACATTAAAACTTTCCAGCCAGATGAAGATATTCACTTCTGGTTTTTTGTTTTGTAGTAGTGACCTTTTAAAGATATTTTTGGTTTCAGAGATTTCCCCATGGACTTACATATACACTTAAAGCTTCCAAAGATTTGAATTGTGAGACTTATAGCTTATAATTGGACCTTGCCCTTGGCATTACAGATGAGATCCTCTCAAAGGAAGAACTCTCTGCTAGTGGGCACACAGAGTTGACAGATATAAGGGTAATTTTGGAACTGTCACATATAGGCCATACAACATCATCAAACAAGTGGTTCATTGTGTAAAGAAAAGAAAAGAAAAAAAAACAAAAACAAAACCTTGCCATGATAAGAGGTCAGAAAAAGGTCAGATGTTCCAAATGGAATCCCTCCTCATTCATTTAAATGGAATACTATTACTATTCATTTGAAAAATAAAGTAGGGGCACCTTAAGCACATGGGAATTAGTAATTATGGGCAGTGCAGTGCCCTTATTTAGATTGTGGGGGGAGAAGAACTTTTGTATAGTCAGGACATTGAATTTCCAGTTATTGGAGGTTTTCAATCAGACCCTAGACCACCACTTAGCAGGGCTATTATAGGGGTAACTCAGGCACTGGGAAGTAAGGTAGACTAGGTGAGCTTTGAGAGCCTGTGCTATCCTGGGTGTCTTTGGCATCATGATCCTTCTCCAAGGTAAGATACAGAAGTATCCTGGGGAGGAAGAGCATAGACAGGACTGATCCCAAGAAGTTTGAACAAAGATCAGAAAAGAGCCAGGTGGCTGGAGGAGGACCTTTTCTAGATTAAGGTAGATTTATGGAACTAGAAAAGACTTTGGAGGGAAGTTATCCATGCCCTTATTAAGAGATGGAGAAACTGTTAGTGAAGTAGTCTGGACTAGAATACATTAATAAACAAACTATGGAATCTCAGTGGCTTAACACAAGAAAAGTTTATTATGCCCTCGCACAAACTCCTTCATCAATGTTCCTGGTCAGGCACTTTCCTCCAAGTGACAGCTCAGTGATCCACATTCTTCCTATCTTGTCTCACGGCCTTTCAACACTTGGCCTTTAAGGTATCAATGTGAACAGGAAAGAAACATCTGGAAAGGCACCCTGAATACTTTAGATAACCAAGCCTGGAGTGTGACATGCATCACTTTCACTCACATCCAGAGGCAGAGTTGATTACACAGCCAATCTACTGGCAAGGGAAGCTGGGAAACAGAGAAGAACACATAGTTACCAGTGCATACTAATAGCTCCTGCTACAAGAAACCAAGGCCCAAAGAGGTGCCATGATTTTTCATGATCATTGTTGTTAACATTGACAGAACTATTATAAGATTCCTGATAGGATGACTTATAGGGTTAAATGTGATATATGATGGTATTTGGAGCCTTCCATGGGCTGATCCTGGGCATTCTACCATCCTTTTCTGCCACTCCCTGTCTGGCAGCTAGTGCCCCAACAGAACAGAACTGTTCATACTTCCCCACGCCTACTTGGCCTAATATCTTTGCTCACGCTGCCCTCACTTGGGTGTGACTATCTTCTACTGTATCTAATTTCTCTCTGTCTGCTTGTTCTTTCAGACTTAACTAAAGCATCTGTGCTTCCTGGAAGCTGATTTCTGATCCCCACCTCCCAGACAGAATTAGGTATCCCTCTGTGCTCCTACATTATCCCATCCATCAGCATAGGAAATGAAACGTTAATGTCATTATTCACTTATGATTCTATCGCCCTCACTAGATTGTGTGTGTGTGTACTTCTTGCAAGCAAAAGGCATCACACATATTTTTTAAATTAACATACATTAAAAATGGCTTTTTTTGGTGTATAGGTTATGAATTTTAACTTTATATATTGTTAGAGTTGGCATTTGGCTCTTTGGATGCTGAACAATTTTGGATTATATTCTGGACATGTTGAATATTATCTTAGGAAACTCTTGAGTCTTATTTAAATTCTATGGAGTGTTGACAGTTTTGTTTTTGCAGTCAATCAACGCAGTTGGTTTCCAGCTGCAGGTTCGGACCGACCTTCTGTGGGTTGTGGTTTTGATGTCAGTTCTGTTTGCATCTTGGCAGTGCTATTCAGATGTATCTGGTGTATACGTTACCTAGTGGCCAGTACACCTGGACAGTGGTCTCTCCCATAGTTCAGTTCTCAGAGTCTATCATATACGTTTTATGGTCATATCCATGCATGTAGAGCTCTGGAATAAGCCCGAGTTCCTAAACAACTTGATGGGGTAGCTTTCCCGGCATCCTCTTCTCTGAGATCTCCCTGGTACTTTCTGGTTTCCTGCAGTTTCCGTTTTTGATCCTAATCTGCTCTGCATTTCCCATAACTGGGCCCACGTCTGGGGCTGTTGTGGTCACTCAGTCGAAACAAGGCCCCCCTCCCACCCCGCAAATGTAGTTTGGATGTTGAGATCGATGATACCACACATGCAGCAAGAGGTTGTGGAAAGGTTTACCACTCACGTGACGAAGCTTTCTGGGGAGAACAGGGAGAGCTCCCAAGCTGATCTGAAAATGGCTGGAGAGAGCCAAGAGAGGAAACGGGCTTGGTTTTTATGATGGCTGGCGGGTGAGGCTGGGGTGAGAGTTCCTGCATGTGGGCTGGAGCTTGCGTGGTAAGGACTTCCCACTGCCAAGGCAGCATCTGAGCTTTTACATCAGCGTGCCCAGATGCAAAGCCAAAGGGGAAGGGGGAAGGGGGGAGTGGGGAGGTTTGAAAGCTGTCAGCAAACAGCAAAAAATAGAATCAGACTCTTTCTTACAGGGGCCACGTGGTGGGAGGATAGAGAAAAAAAACAACAGGCATTTGTGCCACCCTTTGGAGACCACAGGACTTCCAATCAGAGAGAAAGTTCCTCTCCCTCACAGTTTTAGGTGCCTATGGGCTATCACAGGCTGGGCTGTGTGAGAGATTAGAAAAAAGAAAAAAACAGGACAAAGGAAAATGGGGAATTTAAGAGGCCTCTTTTGTACTTCTTGCTCCAGTCTTCTCCTGGAGCTCTCTCTGTTTTTACAATGCTCATTTCTGAGTTTTGGGATGCCTTGAGTCCAAGCCAGGGGATACCAGAGGGAAAAAAGTCTTAAGCTCACCACCAGTCTAGTGGTACTTCAAATTCTTATCTTTTCCCCAATCAACCTGCTATTATTTACTTTTCATGGTATTTAAATACCAGCTCAATGTGTTCTGTCCAGGGTTTATAGCTGCGTTCAGTGGGAGAGACAGGTTACTTACTCCACCTTGTGGGACTGGAAATCATCTTGTTTAATTTTACATGGCCTGTGCCTAGTACAGTGCCTGGTGCATGGAAGGACTTAACAGATATTCAGTGAGTGAACAAAGT